CCCCCCAGATAGATATCGCCATATTGTTACTGTAGATTCTTTTGACCGCCATCGTTCAGTGAAAATGGGATACTGTGACAGCCCTGTTGTGGAAAGCCAGCGGCGTTAGTCAGCGGTACTTAGCCAAGCTCTACAGCTCTTACTGAATATGTAAATCTGTATTCATTCCCAGGTAAAACATTCAGGGTTCCCACAGGTGTTTTCTGACTGCGAGCCAGTCTCACTCTGCCTCTGTTTCACAGGTGAGCTGTACGTGTCGGACAAATGTGGCAGCGACCAGGATGGGGACGGCACGGAGCAGAAACCCTTCAAAACTCCCCTCAAGGTAAACAGTTGTGTGACTTAAAGGTCCGGTGTGTAACATTTAGGAGACGATCTATTGGCAGAAATGGAATATAATATTACAATAGATATGTTTCATTAGTGTATAATCACCTATTATCCTATTATTAGTATCTCTGCTGTTAACTTTCATTATAATTCATGCTACAGGATTTATTATTAGTAGCAGAACTAATAGCAGGAATATTATTGATATTTTCCACGCTGGTTGATCCAGTTGCACTAATGTCAGCATCTCATTGTGCTCCTGAACAATAAAGGCTCTGATGTTTGCTGGGAAGGAGCCGTTCCCGACCATCTACGTAGAGTCACAGAAGGAGGGAGAGGTTGGTTTAAAAGCATCTTTTTCTCATTTCTTCACTTTAATCTTCATCATATCTACCTGCTACATGCACAGGAAATGATTCAGTCCCTGCATGTACATCTTTCTTCCTCAGCGTTGGGCAGTGATCTCCAAGACGCAGATGAAGAACGCAAAGAAGGCCTTTAACCGCGAGCAGATGAAGAACGATGCCAAAGACAAGAAAGAGGTGTGTGTTTTACCGTTCTCTTCAGCAGCTCCTGCTAGAGCAACATAAAACCCACAGATGGTTTCTGTTTTTAGTTTTACTGTCTATTATTCTAGTTGAGCTCTAATCTATACGACCAAGAAGCAGTACCTTTAAATGTTTGTTCCATGTTTGTTGTGCAGGCAGACGACAACGAGAGGAGAGAGAAGAACCTGGAAGAGGCCAAGAAGATCACCATTGAGGACGACCCCAGCCTGCCTGAGCCTGAAACGGTCAGTCTGTCACATTTCATCTTGTTTCTACTCTTAAATCCATCCTAATGTTCTTTTAATAATATCTAATTAATAATAACCGCTAAAACTATTAACCTACTATCTAGCATTTTTATTCATTATAATAATTTAATAGAATTATTACACTGTGATACAGATAATGTAGTTGACATTTGAAGTGTTTAATAACCTATTGTTAATCACAACTCTACATACGGTAGAGAGCATTTGTAACTTGTGTATAAACAGTTAGTGAATGCTTGATATAAATGTGTTCATAACTTACTTATATTGCAACTATCTTATATTATCGTTTAACACGTTCCGGAAACATCTGTTAAAATGTATTCTAAACAGTTAATGGACATACAGAAACAGGTAGCCTGGCTCCAGAGATAACCAAATCTACCTGTTGGAACCCCTAAAGCTGACTTCTTAATGTGGCTATAGCCCTATGTTTAATGGACAGATATGAGAGTGGAATCAGTCTCATCTCACTCTGACAGAAATAAGTGCATTTTCCAGACTATTCCTATAGTTCCTATAGTACAAGTTTTTATACACTCCTTTATAATTGCTGTGGAGATCTAAATAAAGT